CCTCAAATTAAAGCTGACAGTCTGCAGGTAAAGCACATCTTGTTTGTTTCATTTCAAATCCATTGTGGTGGTGTATAGAGCCAAAAATGTTAGAATTGTGTCCATGTCCCAATATTTATGGACCTGACTGTATAGCGATCATTACAATCTAGGAGGGAGGGGCTAGTGGTACAAAATGTAGTAACTGTGGGGGATGGACTGGTAGGAAAAGTAGAAGATTCCAGTATTAGCTGAGGGCAGGATAGGCTTCCCTGAAGAGATAGGTTTTCAGTGATCGCCTAAAAGTGAACAGAGTAAGCGATAGTCTAATTGGGGTAGAGAGTTCCAGAGGATGGGGGAAGCTCTGGAGAAGTCCTGGAGGCGACAAGAGAGCTAGAGAGCAGGAGGTCGTGCGAGGAGCGGAGAGTACGGTTTGGGTGATATTTGGAGTTCATCAAGACTGGGTCCAATAGACGTTTATTCATATAAAAATGATATCAGAATTTGACAGTCAAAGCTTTTCAGGGTTTAACCTCCCCCAACACAGGGCTGTTGGCTGTCAACTCTAGAGAATTTTTTTTTATAGCATTTTAGATTGTTTCTTCTGAAATTACATTTCACTTATGTGATGGGAAATAACAGAAAGATATAATTGGACCATATAATGGGATATAGTCACACCTCCGCCGGTCCAGGATTCTGAAATCGGCAGGACGGGACACAAGATTCATCTTCTGGACAATTAATAATGGAAGGAAGGTGAAGGTGGAATTTATTGCTCATTACCGGGCTCAGTAAAGAACAGTCCAGAAGATTCTCCTCCTAACACTCCGACGCGTATTTCTTTGTGAAGGAAGAGCTTATAATCAAACAGCTGTCAGCTTCGAATAATTCACCGCATCTGGAAACCAGCATTCCTCTTCCATCGGAAACAAAGCCTTGCCACGATCTACAGATGACGCAACGCCATTAATGTGCTGGCGACCGGAACTCTGCGACGGAATTAGAAGACCTCACAAAGGTGCCCAGTCCTGTACAGATCACGTATGAGAGCCTCGCGGTAGCCTCCCTAGCGGTCTGATGATGTCAGTCAGGGGCGGACTGACCATTTGGAAACTCGGGCACTGCCCAAGGGCCCGGGGTCAATAGAGGGCCCCATGAGATGCCCCTGGTACCTTTTTCATAGTTTGGGCAAGGACACAGGGGCCCCATGATCGCCTATTGCCCGGGGGCCCCATGAGTTGTCAGTCCGCCCCTGCTGGGGACTCACACTCCATTGGCTTCCGCTGCTGTCAATCACAGCCAGTGAGCCAATTAGGAAAGGGAAGGGGTGGGGCCAAGCAGCAGCTCTGTGTGTGCAAGTCCACCCCTGATGTCAGTATTTCTGTGCTCAAAGCGGTACATTTTTTTGCATGGAAATATGTATTTTTTTTATTGTAGGTCTGTAATTCTCAGGAATAACTCACTGAAATCTGTCCGGACAAGAGTCTAGTAAACATCCCGGGGAGGATAAAACTTGAAACACAAAATAATAAATTATAATTTAATAAATAAATAATCATAAAAAATAATAATATAATAATAATAAATTTAATTCAATAATATAATCACCAAAAACACTGAAATGTGAAATAGAGCGCCAAGTTGGCCCATCGCTGAGCTCAGTCGCAGAATCGTTTTCAGTGTCTGATGAGGAATTTCCCCCACCAATCATTATCACTCAATTCTGCAAGTGGTTCTGATTTACTATCGCTGTTCTCTAGCCGGTCTAAAACCGCGTCTGACCTAAAGGGACGCTTTTTGGACGCCATGGACGTTTCTCAGTTTCCAGGCAGAACGGGCGGTAAAAATGCAGGCAGGGCGCCGGACAAAGCACTCGGGACACAATGTATGTGAAATGGTTGGATACAGGAATGTTATACTATGTGATTTTACTGTATTTAGTGAATGTCACTTTTTCACATTTTTTAATTTCCCGCCAGTTCCGTCCCCCGTACGCCCTGACGTCGCAGGGGGCGGATCCCGGAAGACAGATGCCGGCATCGGCTGGAGGAGATTGCCGGGGACACTGCAGGAGGGACATCGCGGGAGCGCAGGACAAGGTAAGTGCTGGAGGGATCCCGGAGCAATGCTGCAGTGTAATCCTGAGTGTAGCTCGGGGGGGGTGGGTTACCGCTTGTGGTGCTGAAACTTTACCCCGAGCTACACTCAGGAATACCACCAAGGAGGTTAAAAAAGTAAGGACCAAACAAATTGTACAAATAATACTGCAAGTCCAATTGTCAACGCCAAAACCACTTGGGTTTATCCAAATCGGAACACCATGTTGCCGCACTCTGTAGCAATGCCAGGGGACACGCCATGCTCCCATGAGCCTCCCAAACATGTCTGTGAAGGAGGAACCAAAGCCTATTATCCTTGAATAGTCATGGGATTTTCAAGCCTGACCCCAGGCTGGGTATGATGATACTCTCAGAATCTCTGCTAGGTCTTTCAGAACTTCTACTCTCAGATCCACGCCAGGATTTCTAGAACCCCCAACAGGTCAATTGATGGTACCCACAGAATCCCTGCCAAAACCTCCAGAGGTCTCAGAATTCTGGGTGTGTGTGTGGCTCTTAAATTTGTTTTCAGAAAAGCACGGTACATTTCACTTCTTCACGTGGCTCGTTCTTCTCCCTGTGAGGAGACTCATGTTTACATGATAGGACAGGCGTTCTCTCATCACATTTGCCTTTTGGGGTCAACATCAACTTTATTTCTACTTTGTGGATCTCCCATCTTTCTCTCTGGGCTGATACGGAACCCCCAGAAGGGTCATGGCTCTCAAATTTGTTTTCAGAAGAAAAGAACGTCATTTCTACTCGTTATGAACCTTCCTAAAGCAATTTCTGGAGGAGATTTAAAGTGCGTCTCCAGAAAGAACTTTTTTTTTTTTTTATTTTGCCAACATTTTGGAAGTGTTAATAAAACCTTTCAGGTTCCTTTTTCTGTTTATGTCCCCCACCAGGGAGATCACCTTTTCTAATGTTTTGGATCCATTGTCAATTAACCAAAAAGTGAAAGGAAACCCATAGTTCTTCCATTGTCACCAGAACAAGAAGTGAGAGGAAATCTTCTAATGGAGGCACCTTACAGGAGCCGTAAAGCCCAACTCAAGCTTAAAAAAATACGTTAAAAATCTTAAAAACGCAAGTTAAATGAAAAATTAGCTCTTCTTGGCACTAAACCTTCCACATTTACCGCACTGAGACCCAATGCTGATGCATTTTTCAATGCTGGGAGTTGTTCAACCTACTTCCTTGGACCCAGGGCATCATGGACACCATCACTAATTTGCGGAATCAGGACCTCTCCACCAAGGAGTTGGCTGCAAGTGAGAGGCTATGGTGTGGGGACTGTGGGGTAGTTTTCTCCAGAGCTCCTGTGGGGGACATGGGCCAAAAACGTAGTGGTCTCTGTTTTAGTTTGCTGCAAACTGACACCAGGCCCTGACCCCCAGGATCTGCTCCACTAAGAAGTTGCAGAGGTTTGTTAGAGGAAAAATAAAGGAAGTGTTTTCTTTTTGTTTTTTTTTGTAACCCTGGAAAGGTATTTAACCCCTCGCCTACCGGGCACTTATACCCCCTTCCTGCCTACCGGGCACTTCTATCCCATTCCTGCCTACCGGGCACTTCTACCCCCTTCCTGCCTACCGGGCACTTCTACCCCCTTCCTGCCTACCGGGCACTTCTATCCCCTTCCTGCCTACAGGACACTTCTACCCCCTTCCTGCCTACCGGGCACTTCTACCCCCTTCCTGCCTACCGGGCACTTCTACCCCCTTCCTGCCTACCGGGCACTTCTATCCCCTTCCTGCCTACAGGGCCCTTCTACCCCCTTCCTGCCTACAGGGCCCTTCTACCCCCTTCCTGCCTACAGGGCACTTCTACCCCCTTCCTGCCTACCGGGCACTTCTACCCCCTTCCTGCCTACAGGACACTTCTACCCCCTTCCTGCCTACAGGGCACTTCTACCCCCTTCCTGCCTACCGGGCACTTCTATCCCCTTCCTGCCTACAGGACACTTCTACCCCCTTCCTGCCTACCGGGCACTTCTACCCCCTTCCTGCCCACAGGGCACTTCTACCCCCTTCCTGCCTACAGGACACTTCTACCCCCTTCCTGCCTACCGGGCACTTATACCCCCTTCCTGCCTACCGGGCACTTATACCCCCTTCCTGCCTACCGGGCACTTCTATCCCCTTCCTGCCTACAGGGCACTTATACCCCCTTCCTGCCTACATGGCACTTATACCCCCTTCCTGCCTACAAGGCACTTATACCCCCTTCCTGCCTACAGGGCACTTCTACCCCCTTCCTGCCTACAGGGCCCTTCTACCCCCTTCCTGCCTACCGGACACTTATACCCCCTTCCTGCCTACAGGGCACCTATACCTCCTTCCTGCCTACAGGGCACTTATACCCCATTCCTGCCTACCGGGCATTTATACCCTCTTCCTGCCTACAGGGCACCTATACCCCCTTCCTGCCTACCGGGCACTTCTACCCCCTTCCTGCCTACAGGGCACTTCTACCCCCTTCCTGCCTACAGGGCACTTCTACCCTCTTCCTGCCTACAGGGCACTTCTACCCCCTTCCTGCCTACAGGGCACCTATACCCCCTTCCTGCCTACAGGGCACCTATACCCCCTTCCTGCCTACAGGGCACCTATACCCCCTTCCTGTTCAGGCCAATTTCCAGATTTCAGCGCTGTTGCACTTTGAATGACAATTGCGCGGTCATGCAACACTGTACCCATATGAAATTTTTATCATTTTTTTGAGACAGATAGAGCTTTCTTTTGGTGGTATTTAATCACCTTGGGGTTTTTTACTTTTTCTTAAACAAACCAAAAACCACAGAAAATTTTGAAAAAAAAAGTTTTTTTTTTTAGTTTTTGTTATAAAATTTTGTAAATAAGTGATTTTTCTCCTTCACTGATGTGCGCTAATAAGGCTGCAGTGATGGGCACTGATAGGCTGCAGTGATGGGCACTGATAGGCGGCACTTACTGGCACTGATAGGCGGCACTTACTGGCACTGATATGTGGCACTGATTGGCATTGATGGGTGACATTGAAAGGCAGCTCAGATGGGCACTGATATGTGGCATTGATGTGGCACTGATGGGCACTTGCACATGGCACTGATGAGCACTGACTGCTGGCACTGATGGACACTGACAGGTGGCACTTCTGGGGCTACACTGATCATCAGGGCACATGTCCCCTCCGCGGAAAGCCAATTACCGGCTCTCCTCTCCTCTGTCAGCGTGACAGCTCATGAGGAGAGAAATGCCAATAACCGGCATTTCCGTGTTTACATGTGATCAGCTGTGATTGGACACAGCTGATCACATGACTGAGCCGACATCTTCGCCGCTTTCCGTGATCCGCTGTGTCCGAGGTACACAGCGCACCGGCGATCGCTGCGCTGCACGCTCCCTGAGCCGCGCATGCGCGGGTGAGAATGGAAGGACGTCATATGACATCCTATCAGAACGAGAGAACCGCCTTGCGCCCGTCATTGTACTATATGGCGGGCGGGAGGTGGTTAAGCACCAGACTCTGAAGTGGCTTGTGTTGTCTCCTATCGCCAATCACCCGTGTGCAAACAGCTATGATACTTGCCTGTGAGATTGCCTAAGGCAGGGGTGTCAAACTGGCGGCCCTCCAGCTACTGCGAAACTACAAGTCCCATCATGCCTCTGCCTTTGGGAGCCATGCTTGTAACTGGCAATTTTGCAATGCCTCATGGGACTTGTAGTTTGGCAACAGCTGGAGGGCCGCCAGTTTGACACCCCTGGCCTAAAAGCTTGTTCCCACTTGACTAAATTTCTAACTCTTACCAAACTCTCCTATAGCTTTAGCATGGGCGTTAGACAGGAGATTAACCTCCTCCCGTCCGGCCGTTGTATATAAACGGCTGGACGGTGGCAGTGCAGGGTCGGGTGGACGTTTATAAACAGCCTCCCCGCACCCTGCTTGTGCGCGCTCCCTGGGAGCGCGCAGGACCGCAATCCGGTGCCCGCTGTGTCCTCCGGACACAGTGGAACACCGATCGTTGTACGGGACCTCTGTGCGAGGTCCCAATCATGTGATCACTGATTGGCCAATCAGTGATCACATGCAGAGTAGTAAGCAAGATGTCACTTCTGACATCATTGCTTACTACGTGTGAAATCTGTGAATGATCACCGAGATCACATGGTACAGGGCCATTCACAACAGCCTTGTACCATGTGACCAATCACAGCTTTCACAGTATTTCTCAATGGCTGCAAGAATGCAGCCAGAGAGAAGGAGAAATTATTGCTTTTACAGCCTTTATGGGTGTAAAAGAAATCAGTGTAAAAAAGGAAAAAAACATCTTTATCACCCCCCCACAAGTAGTACAGTGTCACCATGGTGACACTGTACTGCTAGGGTGACGGTATGTAAAAAAAAAAAAAAAAAAAACATAAATAATATAAAAAAAAAAATAAAAATGTAAAAAAAATTTTAAATATTATAATTTTTGGTTATAAACTAATTTGGGTTATTTTTTTTTTTTTACTAAAAAGATAACATAATAAATTTTGGCCGAGATTTATGATGAAATATTATTTATTTGCAAAATTTTATAAGAAAAACACTTTTTTTTTTCAATATTTTTAGACTTTTTCATTTACATAGGAAAAAAAATTAAAATCTCAGCGGTGAATAAATACCACCAAAATAAAGCTTTATCCGTCTCAAAAAAATGCTAAAACAAATATGGGTACAGTGTTGTATGACCGCGCAATTGTCATTCAAAGTGTGATAGAGCTGAAACCACGTACCACGGCACTTTCAGGAGGCACACAGTGGTGACCCATCGGGCATGAAAGTATTTGGGATTGAATCCATCACAGGAGATTCAGATGGTGGAAGAAAATTCCAAAGACTATGTAAGAGGGAGACCTATTGGATCTTCACTCTGGGTTCCCTCTCACCCACTGGGCTTAATGAAGATCTTGAGATACATGGGGCCATCCACTGACTCCCCGTTATGCATAGGCACCTTCTGCTGAGCTGCACATGTTCCCTAGAGTCCTACTCTCATCCTTTTTGTCTCTCTCCCAAACCCCCTTTTTTTTTTTTTTTTTTTTTTTTTTTTTTCCTTTCTCTCCCCCCCTCTTTAGTGCTAGTTCCATCATTTCCCTTGTGACCTATAGTGGGTACACCATCCACTACAGATGTATGCTTTAGATATATTCATTTTCATCAGCTATGATTACTATAGTATCATCAGTATAGCTACCATTACCCTGCATCCTTACACATTAGGTTGCTCACTTCATATTTATTGTGTCACCCTTAGGCGCTTGCGTATGACCGCATTCCCATGCGCTTGTGTCTATGGGTCATTCATTGGTCACCCATTTTTTAATTCAGTTTCCATATGTGTGTGTGGGTTTATGTGTGTATGTATAGACATGTTTTTTACTAAAAAGCAGTTGCTCATGTGGATGTGTTACACACACATGTGCGCACGCATGTTGTCCAGTGAGCTCTCTTCGAGCACTGCTTTCTTATCCAGCAAGTGCTTGTTCCATAGCGCCTTTGACATTTTTATATACTTCTTATATATAACACATATATACATCTTTTGTACATTTTTTTTATATAATTATTTATTTTATTTTTATTTTTTTTTTTTTTTTTTTTTTTCCTATATATTTATATTTCTTATGCTTCCATGTCTATGCATGCACACATATACCATACACTATACCATTTTACCAGATATTATACTATATTGTAACAATACTTATTTAATTCTATTTTATTTAAACTTTGTGAGCCATATTAAGAAGTTGTTTGTAACTTTTTATATCAACATTTATGTTTTACTAGTGATTTATCTCCTTTGTTCTTGTATATAGTATTGCATATGCATATCCATCCATGGTGCACTACATTGCCACACATACCTACGTCTCATCATATGACGACACTAGAATGATAGCACACACCCTGTAGGCTGCATCTCTATGAATTAATAAGTGTCTCTGCTGGGTTTCAGATCTACTCTCTGTATTAAATCCATGTCCCATGGTTGTCTATGGCAAGCAGAGCACTAGGCAGCTTCGTAGCGTTGCTCATCCATCCATTTATTTATTTAAAGGCGAGCAGTGCAGTGCATCACCAGGGAAGGATTTTTATTATTTTTTATATATGTGTAACTTTCCATGTATTTATTTATTTTCCACTGTGCACACTTCTTATGGTTCATATGATTTTATGATTGTCACTAGTTTCAATGGTTTTATTTGTGCGTGTATATATATATATATGTGTATGTATTTTTTTTATAGACCTTTCGTGTTCACTTACATTATGTCGATTGCCCCTGTGACTCCTCCACCTGCACAGGGGAGTGTCCAGGACGGCCCATGTGACCTTTGGTTTAACTAGTAGTGAGCATATAAAAGAGGGAGCAGACATTTGGTCAGTTGGCTCTGAGGAAGAGGCAAGTCCTCGAAACGCGTCAGCCTTTTGGATGTCTAAACTCCCTATTGTGGACTGTTACTCAGCGCGGTGTTGATCCAGCTGTTCTTCTATGATGTGCCTTGACTATATTGTCGTTTGTGAGTACAACACCTACTTTATTTTTTTATTAAACATTTTTTATGGTAATGCACTAGGCCTGTGCGCCCTCTTTTTGTTCTTTCCCCACAGAGCTGAAAGCTGGCCTGGGCAGGAAGGGGGTGAAAGTATCCGGGCTTGAAGTGTTTAATGAGATTTAGACCAGCTTTTTTTCAAGCGTTAAAAACGCTCCCCAAATGCCCTATGTGCAGCTTTGAAGCGCTTTATAAGCATTTGAAAAGTGTTAAAACCACACCACAAACTAAACAAACTGTAATATTATTACTGCACCGCAAATGCCTCGCAAACGCCTGCCAGTGCATCACCATAGACTTGAATAGGAGGCGTTGAAAGGCTTCTGACTCGACACGAGGCTTCAATTTTGGAAGCAACGCGACACTAACGCTTCATGTTTTGATAATGTGAACAACACTGTGTGCTGCCCGTAGTATCATTTGCATAGGCGTTTGAGGAGCATGAAAAAGCCCATCAATCGCCTGCTTTCAAAGCCAGTGTGAACTAGGCCTAACAGTCCCCACACCATAGCCTCTCACTCCCAGCCAACCCCTTGGTGGAGAGGACCTGATTCCGCAAATTAGTGAACTTGGACCATTAGGGCCACCACCACCTTCAGAAGCTATGGTGAAGACTGACTCTAGCTTAGACCCCACTCTAGGATTGTTCTAACAACTTCTTAGTGGAGCAGATCCTGGGGATCAGGGCCTGGTGTCAGTGTGCAAACTAAAACAGAGACCACTACATTTTTGGCCCATGTCCCCCACAGGAGCTCTGGTGAAAACTAACTTCTGGTACCTTGGGTGAGTCTTCTTCACCTGCCAGGGGCATTATAATACTGGGCCTCGGATCACATGACCTTTTTTTTCTTTCTGCGGTAGTCAGTGGTCTGAATGACAACAGGAGCGCTGTTCTCTGTACCCTTTGTCCTGTGAGCCCAGAGTGGATTGATGACAAACCCCAGGGATGGCGTCCATGATGCCCTGGGTCCAAGGAAGTGGGTTGAACAACTCCCAGCATTGAAAAAAAGAGTATGATAAGAAGAGCTGATTTTTTCATTTAACTTGTGTTGATAAGATTTTTAACGTGTTTTTTTTTTAAGCTTGAGTTGGGCTTTTTCATATGGGTACAGTGTTGCATGACCGCGCAATTGTCATTCAAAGTGTGACAGCGCTGAAAGCTGGAAATTGGCCTGGGAAGGAAGGGGGTAGAAGTGCCCTGTAGGAAGGAAGGGGGTAAAAGTGTCCGGTGGGCAGGAAGGGGGTAAAAGTGTCCGGTGGGCAGGAAGGGGGTAGAAGTGCCCGGTGGGCAGGAAGGGGTAGAAGTGCCCGGTAGGCAGGAAGGGGGTAGAAATGCCCGGTAGGCAGGAAGGGGGTAGAAGTGCCCGGTGGGCAGGAAGGGGGTAGAAGTGCCCGGTGGGCAGGAAGGGGGTAGAAGTGCCCTGTAGGCAGGAAGGGGGTAGAAGTGCCCAGTAGGCAGGAAGGGGGTAAAAGTGCCCGGTGGGCAGGAAGGGGGAAGAAGTGCCCGGTGGGCAGGAAGGGGGTAGAAGTGCCCTGTAGGCAGGAAGGGGGTAGAAGTGCCCTGTAGGTAGGAAGGGGGTGTAGAAGTGCCCGGTAGGCAGGAAGGGGGTAGAAGTGCCCTGTAGGTAGGAAGGGGGTAGAAGTGCCCTGTAGGCAGGAAGGGGTAGAAGTGCCCTGTAGGCAGGAAGTGGGTAGAAGTGTCCTGTAGACAGGAAGGGGGTAGAAGTGCCCTGTAGGTAGGA